TGTCCTTGTGTCACATCCAGGTGACATTGGTGTCACACCCGGGTCACATCCGTGTCACTGCCAGGTGACATCCAGGTGACATCGGTGTCACTGTGCCAGGTCCGGGTGACATTGGTGTCACATCTGTGTCCTTGTGTCACACCCAGGTGACATTGGTGTCACACCTGTGTCACACCCAGGTGACATCTCTGTCACATTTGTGTCCTTGTGTTACAGCCGTGTCACACCTCTGTCACTGTGCCAAGTCCAGGTGACATCGGTATCACACCCATGTCCTTGTGTCACATCCAGGTGACACCTGTGTCACTGCCAGGTGACATCCAGGTGACATCGGTGTCACACCTGTGTCACACCCAGGCGACAGCCATGTCACATTTGTGTCCTTGTGTCATAGCCAGGTGACATCCATGTCACACCTCTGTCACTGAGCCAGGTCCAGGTGACACCCAGGTGACACTCTTGTGTCCTTCTGTCACATCCAGGTGACATTGGTGTCACTGTGCCAGGTGACATCCGTGTCACATCTGTGCCACCACACAGGGTCCAGGTGATACTCGTGTCCCTTGTGTCACATCCAGGTGTCACTCCTGTGTCCTTGTGTCACACCCAGGTGACATCTGTGTCACTGTATCAGGTCCAGGTGACATCGGTGTCACATCCAGGTCACACCAGTGTCACACCCAGGTGACATCGGTGTCACTGTGCCAGGTCCAGGTGACATCAGTGTCACTCCCGTGTCCTTGTGTCACATCGGTGCCACTGTCCCAGCTCCGTGTGTGACACCCACACGATGTCCATGTCCTTGTGTGACACGGGTGACATCCAGGTGACATCGGTGTCACACCCAGGTGACATCCAGGTGACAATCCTGTCACCACACCACCTCTGTGTCCTTGTGCCAGGTCCAGGTGCCATCAGTGTCACTGTGCCAGCTCTGGGTGACACCCGTGTCCCCACACAGGCTCCAATCGTGACGTCATTCCCGATGACATCACAACCTTATGATGTCATCCCCAGGCACTGCGTCCCCCAGGGGAGTGGGGTGGAGGAGATTCCCCCATTGATGACGTCACTACCCATGACGTCAGCAACCACTACAGTCTCTGTGGGGTGGGGGGAGTTTCCCCCACTCATGACGTCACTCCCCATGATGTCACCTCCAATACACCTTCCTGGGAAGGGGAGAAGTCGGGGGATTCCCCCCCTCCCATGACGTCACTCCAAATGACGTCACCCCCAACCACTCTGCCCCCACAGGAGGGGAGGAGGGGGATTCCCCCACTAATGACGTCACCCCCAGTTAGTGTCCGTGGGGGATTCCTGGTCTCATGACGTCACCTCCGATATACCCTCCGGAGAAGGGGAGAAGGAGCGGAATTCCCCCCCTCCCATGACGTCACTCATCATGACGTCATTCCCAATGACATCACCCCCAACTACAATGCCCCCACAGGGGTGAATGGGGGGGGGGTTCCCCAGTCATGACATCACTTCCCATGACGTCACCCCCAAACTACAACGCCCCCACAGG